AAGGCTCAATTTACATGTAAAGTGTAGCCCACCACAATCTGTTAGCACCCACCTCATGTGCAGCTGCCAGCTATTCCAACTGGCTGGGGCAATCAAAAGGCAGTGTCAGGATCTTACAGAGACCACCTGGGAAGACTGCAGCCTAAATCCCCATTAGGCCATCTAAAGAGTAAGGCATCCTGAATGTTTTTGTTTATGTCACAGGTCATTGTACAAAATTTTTGTTCATTTAATCTGGCAAACACACTTGTATTACTGGCCAAGGTTTTGAAAAAAAAAAAAAAAATTAACACAAGCTTTTATGTACTTGGCATACCATGAATTGCATTGTCATAGAGGAACTTGGTTCTGACCTCAGACAAAAATCATGTCATATCTTGGTATTGAAGATATTTTTTGAGGTTACACATAAGAAGCTGCCACAAGTTCTCGTTTCCCCAGAAACTGGTTAACACCTCCAAGTTTACAGAGCCAGTTTAAGCAAATTTGAACTGATGCTGAATTGGTTGCAATAAAGATTGACACCAGTTCTAACCTTCCCAATCAGCGCATGTCTGCAAAGATACTCATCTCATTTTGAAGATTTTCCTCAGCATTTCTTTATAACAGATCTCTGCCTACATTATTTTACACAGTCTATCACAAATTATATTGTATTACTCCATTTTGTAGATAGTTTCACCTTTGTCCAATACATCTAATTAGCTGTTTCTTCTTCCATGTCCACCTATTCATATAATCAGAAAGACTGGCTGATCAAAAACTATTCTTTAAAGCCTACACAGCAACATAAACTCCAAAAATGTCCCTGAAAGTCTTTACATTTTTTTGTAAACTGTATCTTCATTGCTTTTCTGTTCTGTTGATATAAATTTCTTCCTTCTTCAAAAAATGTAATCTTCCTGGATTTCAGTAAAGCTTTCAATAGTCTCTCACAGTATGCTTCTGGACAAAATATCTGGCACAAATCTGCTTTCATACTTTAGTTTAAAGATGAGTAATTACTTTTATCACTAGAAGTTAATTTCATTGATCAACATTCAAAATTAAATGTATTAAGATGTTCTTCCAAAAAAAAGTAGTCAGGCTTCACTAACCAATTTAGTTTTGGGGTTGGGGCATAGGCTAAAGTGTATGTGTGTGTTCAGGGGTTGTACAAAGGGATTGTTTAAATTACTTTGTAATGTCATGCAAGAGGTGAGCACCTCACTCATGGGTCGGGCACAAAGGGTTACTGTGAATGGGGTGACATATGGCTGGTAACCTGTCACTTGTGGGGTCCCACAGGGCTCCATCCTCTTCCCTTGGCTCTTCTACATCTTCATGAATTACTTGGACACAGGACTGGAAGGGATACTGAGCAAGTTCACAGCCGATACAAAACTAGGAGCAGCTGCTGACTCCCTTGAGGGCAGGGAGGCCCTGCAGAGAGACCTCAATAAATTATAGGACTGGGTAATCACCAACCATAAGAATTTCCACATGGGAAAGTGCCAGATTCTGTACCTGGGACAGGGCAACCTTGAAAGACATACTGGGAAATAAGATCCTGGAGAGCAGTGCCATGGAAAGGGACCTGGGGGTCCTGGTCCATGGCCAGTTGAACACGAGTCAGCAGTGCCCTGGCAGCCAGGAGGGCCAACCCTGATCTGGGGGGCATCAGGCACAGCATGGCCAGCTGGGCAAGGGAAGGGATTGTCCTGCTCTGCTCTGAGCTGGGGTGGCCTCACCTCCAGTGCTGGGGCAGTTTTGGGTATCACAATATAACAACATTAAACTGTTAGAGAGCAGCCAAAGGAGGGCCATGATGGTGAAGGGCCAGGAGGGGAAGCTGCATGAAGAGTGGCTGAGGTGACTTGTTCAGCCTGGAGATGAGGAGACTGAGGGGAGACCTCACTGCAGTTACAACTTCTTAGTGAGGCCAGAGGAGGGTCAGACACTGATCTCTTCTCTGTGGTGACAGGGCCCAAAGGAATGGCCTGAAATTATGTCCAGGGAGGTTTAGGTTTATATTAGAAAAAGGATCTTCACAAAAAGGAGTCTGGGCACTGGAACAGGCTCCCCATCAGCCTGGAAGAGTTCAACAAGAATTTGGACTACTCTCCGAGGCACATGGTGTGACTCCTGGGGATGGTGCTGTGCAGGACCAGGACTTGGACCCAGTAGTCCTTGTGGGTCCCTACCAACACGGCATATCCTGTCATTCTGTGATCACTATGGAATGTGATTTCAACTCAGCCACTCAAATAGACTTCACTACTTGTTTTCCGACATCTGGCATATAGGTAAATTAACTTGCACAATGTTTCCAAGGCTTGAAAAATGTGTGTAGGGGAAGCTGTTTCCTGCAACTGCTTTTTTTCTATTGCTAAAAAAGACACTCACTTTTTAGGAAAAAAATATATTCTTACCCTTGATCCTGAAGCTTGAAACCCTAGCTGAAACAATAACTGAGTGGATTTCCACAATGCTGTTACACCAAATACCTAACAGAGTAAAGTAATTCAGTTCCCCTGTTCATGCCTAATATATAAAAAATCCCCTCTGATTAAGCTGCATAGTATAATTCCTAATAATAATTCAATTCAGTATAATTCCTAATAACAAGTCAATGGCAATGTACTGTGTGGGTGAAAATACAATTTATATTGTCATACATATTTCCATTAATGTATATGTATTCCAGATATGTTCCAGCAAAAGGAAACTTTGGCAAGCAAAGACTCAGTCTCTGAAAGGTGATCAGTATTTCTAAAATTTAATATCAGCAACTAGCTACACTCAGTCTTTCCTAGGGACCAAATAAGAGATGAAAAAAAAATATATATTTAAGCACTTAGATCCAAATTTCTTCATTTCAGAGTTCCCAGCTGCAGAGGTAGGTAAACAATTGGAGATGAATTCTTTTAAATCAACTTTCTAAAACACTTTAATTTCTGCTTCTGTTCATGCATACTGTTCTTCAGGTCACAACATCAAGAACCAGCTAGGTGTCCAGCACTTTCAGAACCCCCAAGTTGTTTTTTTCTCTCTGCCCTGCTTTTGGTATAATTGTTGTTTTCCTTAGGTATAATTGTTTTTACAGAGCCTAACAGATCAAACTATGACTGGGAAAGGATTTTTGTTTTTTAATTCTAGCCAAAGTTCAACAGTACTACATAAAACCTCATCTGCTGGAGTACTTATTAATGGATATATATGGTCAAGTCACTGGGCTTGGTTTCTCCTTAGGAGCTATTTTGACAACTAATGTAAATTTAAATGTAAAATATATTGGATAGACACAAACAGTTGATAATCTTATATATTTGATTTTCTGGTATCAGACTCTTCCTTAAAATGTGAAGCTTATATTTGGTAAACCAGGAAATTTTTTGATCATTGCCAGTTTTAATCCTCTTCTGACCAGCAGTTCTAGAGAGATTTCTGAATAAATGCCAGATCTTGATTCTCTGAAAATCTTACTTCATTTCTAAACATATTTCCATTAATTACACTCTCAAAATCAAAAGTAGTGGAAGAAGCCAAATGTTTCTAGTTGGACAGCATAATGAATTGTGGTATATTCATCTTAAATTTAAGTAATTTATTTTAACAGACTGAGACTAATTATATCTCTAAAAATCCATAGAAAGGTAATTTGAATTTATCTTTTTTGATAGTGAATAGCTAATAGAATAATTTAACACTATGTATATAGGTTTATTTTTCAAAAGCATTTTTGTAATGGCATGATGCAAAACATACCTAAATTAACAGCAGAACAGCTCTTCATGCCTGTAGATCAGGCTTAAACCACCGTGACTTTGTCAAGAATAAAATTCTCAAGTGATTTCTTATAAGATACAATGAGAAATGAAACACACACAGGTTCTCATTGATCACAGCTGGAGCCCACAAAGTGACATGTGAAAAGTGGCTGAAAGGGAACCCTTAAGGGCTGCAAAAGACATGGTTATTGATTTACCAGGAACAGTCTTGCCAAGTTCAGATGAAGGAAAACAGAAAAATGGCATAACCTGGGTGTAATTCTTTTGAGGTAATGCACTATGTGAGTGAGAGCCGTGTTAGTCGTCTCTAGCATCCCCTTCTAAAGCATCTACATAATTTTAATTAAATAAATGGCTACAGTAAAAACTTAGAAGATCAGAATTACGATGAGTTATGAACTATAAATTACCATGTGTGCCAGTGTTTTTACCAAGGTAAAACTATGACATGTGCAATAAATGTCTTCCAAATTTTTAAATCTTAACTTATGAGGAGTATTTGTGTAGACTGAAATTTAGAAAGGTGATGAACTTTAACTACAAAACTACTCTCTCATTTAATTTATATAGATTAATTGAACTACATGAATGAATATATAACATACAGTCAAAGAGAAACATATTTCCCACAATTCTGTAATTCCTTTTGGGAAATGAAGGAATTGTGGTGTACCAAAAAAACATTTTATACTAAAACTGTTATTCTGGATTTTTTTTTCAAACCCAAAATTCATGAAAAAACTGTAATTCACAGTCAAAACTATAACCTGGCAATTAAATAAATCATTGTAATACTTATGGGCTTAGCACTAGTACTGAACTTATGGCTTAAATGACATACATGAGAGTAACCCTTTTCTAAGGGTATCAAAATACTAAACAAAATTTGATTAGATCAAATTGACTGGATTTGACCAATAATCTCTTTCAAACTTTAATTTTGACCAGTTTTGTATGAAAAAAAAATTTGCAAACAAAAAACTGCCCAACATTCTAGAGTAGGGAAAATAACTTTTTTGAATAACTCTTTCCTCAAAAGTTGCTTATATTGCACTATAGCATTTTATTGACCAATATAACATAAAATGTGTTTAATGTTGTAAATTTTGTTAATGTATTTATGCTTAAATTAAGAATTTGTAAGTAGTCAGAAAATCAGTACATAGGGTTATTTTTTTTGTTTGTGATCTACAGGTTTTATAGTTGACCAGGGCTTTTTTTTTTCCTTACCTGGAACTCTCTTTGCCCAGTTGATCATGTGCACTAATTCTCTGTCTGCAAGGTTGGTCAACAGGGTCATCATAGAAGCTTCATTGAATGGTCTGTTTGGGTCATATTCAGAATAAACTAGGGGTGGCTCAGCTTCCAGCAAGGCACTGACCATCTGTTCTGCCGTCAGGGACAGGGCTGGGCTGTTCTTCTTGTTATGTTTAACCACCAGTGGACTTGTCCAAAGGGTGGGAGCTCGCAGCTCTGTTGAAGAAGCCTCCCCATTTTTGGAATCCTGCTCCTCTCTTTGGCGTTTTTGTTTCATCACTCGCCCACCTCTGCGGTCTTTCCGGATTCCTAGAGACACACAAGAATATAATGAGCTCCTTTCCTTGAACTTAAGTATTACATACACTTGGCTTCAGTCAACAGCAGATGCTTTTGATAGACCCAGGCAGCATTGATTCTTGATTTATTTTCTGAAGACTTCTTCAGGAATCTTACACCAGTAGTTGGACAGAAAAATTATCTTTTAAAGTACAGTCTCAGGAATAGTGTGCTCCTCCCTAAAATTCAGATCAGTTGGGCTCACACAGAACTCTAGACTAGTGACACTGTACAGCTGCCTTAGCCCCACAAAAGTTGGTTATTGGTTTTTTATAGCCTGAAACTTCAAAGGATGTCCCAACCTCTAGCAGAACATTATTATATAAATAATCAATGATAAATTAATGATGTTGGTGGGTCAGACGGATCATAGAAGTAGCTCTCAAAAACTATCTTTTTTGCTTAAGGTCACCAATTATTTTAATTAAACATCATCCTATTACTGATCCTGTGATCTTCATAATTATATAAAAAATAAGAAAGTATCCATTATGAGTTTATATAGCAATAAAGAATGCCATTTAAGTAGATAAACATAAGTATGAAAAGGAGAGATAATTGCAACCTCAGATTCTAACGTGGGAGACCTACTGTCAAAAGGCTGAAATAACCACAACAGAAACCATTACTGTCATTACTGCACATTTCTGCAATGTGCTTTGCACTGTATGACCCTGAACCTTAGGATATTATCAAGTTAGCCATACCAATTCAAACAACATAAGACCTTTACTGCAAAACAAAATCTCCCTTTGTGGAAATGTTACAAGAAAAATATAATGATAAAGCCCACGTGGACTCCAACCATAAAGGACAGGTTAAGTCTGGCTCCAAGTGGAGGAGTAACAGGCATTTTGAGACTGAGTCAAAAACTTAAATCCATCATCAAGAGGCGGCAAGGGAGGACAACCAAGTAATAATGAAAGCACACAAGGAATTGAGATATGAGGAAAAGGCAGCTTATGATGAGGCTTATTCTGGAGTTCTCATGCAATAGGAAAAAGCACCCCTAGTCCCAGCTTGAAACACAAGAGAAGTATCTACAGAGAATAAATATGTAAACCATTCAAGAAAGGGAAGAGAAAACATTTGAAAACAAAACAAAACAAAACAAAAACACTTGCCAGAAATCAGTACAGGTATTTCTAACAGTTGGGGAAAGGGAAACACAACATTTGCTCAGCTGTCTTCACACCACAAAACTTCAAACCTTTAGAATTCCAGTCTTTGTTGGCAGCATTTTCATCTCATGCTTTCAAATAAATGTTAGTCCTTTCCAACCTCAAAGAAACAGGGAGAATCATTAAATCTCTTTTCCTTTTTCTTCAACTATGGTGAGATTTTCATTGAATTAGTATTTGGAGATTAGGCATTTTATTTTTAATTCATTCAAAATCTGCTGGGCTTTGTGATTCTATTCCATTAATCTACTCAGATAAAGGGAGTTCAATAAATCTTTCATCATTCCTATTACTTAACCTATCTACATTTTCCCATTGACTAAACTATTTCTAAGCCAAAACTCTCAAGTGTGTTGCTGTTTCCATTTTTCATTCAACAACGCCAATCCTTCCTACCACTGAACAGTTTCTGTTAAGAGGAGGGGGTGAGATTCTTGATATTCAGAAAAACACAAATCTTATACTGGCAAATTGTCATTGTGGAGCTATTCTCACTGCTAACTTCCTTGCAATACTCGATAGCAAGCATGCTCTATTTGTAACAGATATTTTTGTTACATGCTTTCTATCAATTTAACATTTTTGAATTAAAATTGCCCTGTGAAACATGTAAATATAATTACATGAAAAAGCCCACACGGTTCACAGAAACTAAAGCATTTTCTAACTTTCTCATATTCCAAATTTTACAGCTAGAAATCATCTAGAAATTTTCTTTCAAAGAGAAACCATCCTTAGGGTCTGTGGTGTTCAACAGACTCATAAATAGATAGGCTGACATAATTCATAAACAAGAATTTGGGGTTAGAAAAATACTATTAAAACATCAGATAAGTTTACAAAGTAAATAGAAGGCTAGAAATTACTGGGAAAGGAAGGGAGGACAGAACAACTTCATAAATCACAGAGTTTATTATCATGAGGCACACTACAGTGAACACTGCATGCAGTTCTGTTCTTCCCAAATTAAAAAGAGATATAAAAATAAATGAAAAAGGGATAAGAGAAAAACAGATAAGGTGATTTGTAACGTGAAACAACTTTGGTGTAAGAAATATCTAAGTTAACTATGTCTGCTTGGCCTGCAAGCTAGATACAAGACTACAAAATCAGGAATAGCAAAAAGATGAATAAGATACAAAACACTAAAGCTTCTCTTCAAAGTCAAGAAGGTTTCAAATTAAAATACCCCATGCAAGAACCCTCAGAACTGACAGGAAGAGGTTCTTTTTCACACCATGGAGAAAGAAAACTGACAATGTGAATAAATTAGAAGGTGGTATAGTTAGAAAGCTGCAGGTGAAATGTGATAGAGAACAGAATTCATTAAAGGTTAATGAATATAAGTAGGGCAACTTCAGCACTAAGTCTCCATCACATGGATTACTGGAAGATCAGAGTTTTTTTGAGTTTGCTTTTTTTACTTAGTCCTGCCTGCCTTACTAAGTAAAACAAAGACGTGCTGAGGATTTTACGTAACAGAGGAAAGGTGTCAAATGTAAGCATATTTAGCTGCTTACAAATAAACCAGATGTTAAATAAGAACAATAGTTTTATTTTTAATTCATCTGAAAGCCTACCACTGGCCTTTTTTCACCTTACAACAAAAACAGTGGTGCATTAAGCAAAGCTGAACATAACCAGTTTGAAGGAGATGCCCCCCACAAATTTATTTCGTGAATTTTTACTTTGGGATTTGAAAAAAATCAACCAACCAACCATAGCAATTTTACTATTGGATTTAAGAGACTAAATCTGAAAAAAAAAGTCAGTAAGAGTATGCATTTCTTCTGCATCACATCACCAGCTTTTATGTTCACAAACAGAAAGGTCTCTGAACCTGTATAATTACCATATTCATCAGAGATTTACAGAACTTATTACTAACTCCTTACCTAAGCCCTAGATGGACAAGCAACAAACTTATTCATTTTCTTGGACTAAACAGGAGTGAGTATCTCTCTGAAAAATGCAAGTGCTCTCAAATCTCCTTCAACTTAATCAAATTTTATCTCTGTTAAAAAGAGATAATAGTGATGCACAGTCACTAAGTCCAAAAAAGGCAACTCTATCAAACCACAGTTTCCTTGCCAAAAGTGCAATTATTCTGTAAGGATTTTTTAAATATATGAATGCATCAACTTTAATTCAACAGTCCAGCCAATAAAGGGATCTTAATTGTCAAGTGTTATGAAAAACAATATTCTAGCAAAAATTGAAGTACTATGCATTTTGAAAGAGCTCTAAAACAATTTCCACTTCAGTTTTAAAGCTGCAAGAGACAAGATTTTCAAAGGCAGCTTTATAAAGCTTCATATGTAAATTCAGTCAGACTTTTGGACACGGAGACAGGTTTCAAAACTGCAAAGTAATTATACATAATCACAAATCATTAGAACCTGATCAGCAATAAAATTGCATATGGACAATAAAAGTTCATATGACACTCCCATGGAAGGGGAGTTGGAACTGATGATCTTAAACTATCCTTTCTATCTCAAAGTTTTATGAGCATATGCTTGTGAAAGAAATGTTAATTCTTATGAAATATTTCCCTAGTGTTTTCCCACATGTCATTAAAACAAAACTAAAAATAAATCCCAGGTCATTAAAACAAAATATCCAAAATTAAAAATGCACTGAATGAGCATTGGATCTCAGCCATTCAACAACCATTTTTTCCTACCTGTTGCTAATAACAAAGCTCCATTTTTATAACTTCAGTACTATATAAAGTATTCAAGAATATTTAGAGGAAGGAAATGAAGAGACCAATTAGAATCATATTTTCTCAGCTGTGTGTGAACTATAGAATCATGCATTTTAGATTTGAAGATACAGGTATAATATCAAATTTTATTCAAGTTAAATATATACCCAGTGAACTGGTTTATATAACATTTTTCAATGTCTTTCTTGTTAGAAATTTGGTCAGTCAACAACAGTTTGTTGCCACATGGGGTTTTTTGGGGTTTGTTTTTTTTGTTTTTTTGCTTGTTTGTGTTCATTGTTTTTGTTTGGTTTGGTTTTTTGGGGTTTTTTTGGGGGTTTTTTTCCCATTTAAGAAGACAAAATAAAAGATGGATCTATGACTGGGTTTGAAAACAGTGATGAGTAAATGGTTTACCAGCTAACTTTGCAGCCTGGAACAACCTTTGAACCTAAGGCTCTTTGTCCACACTTCTGGTCCTTGTCAGCAGACCCCAGACTAGAGAGATTTGACGCTTTTATATACAGGCACAACCTTGTAGCATTAACAGCCTATAATTTTGTCAGTTTGTCAAAAGAGTGTTTCAAATGTGCTTGGAAACATCTTCTCTTCTAAACAATGTTGTTGCTCTTCAAGATCAACCTACCTCATTGGCATCCTGTTGAAAATTGCCAGCGAGAAAGAATCTCTGTTTTAGAGAGAAAGAATCTCTAGTGTTTTGTAAAACAAACCCTCCTTGGCAATAAAAGACAAAATGTATGTGGTAAGTAAAAGATACTATAAATAAGAAGGTATCTGTCAGAGAGCCAAAGTCAATTGCCCTGCTGATGATCAGAGTGTTAAGGGGGAATGCACACAACAGGCCATGGCAGAGATGCCACACAAATCCTTTACAGCAGTGTTTGCAAAGGAAGAAAACAGGTTTTCCTACGACATAAACCTGCCTTTCCGAAACTGAAACTGGGTTTGAAGAGGCCAGAAATTCAAAAGCCTCTCTTCAAATGTCCAAGTATGGGAAGGATTTACTGAACAGTCAGGGGAAGTCCTCTGGGGCTGAGTGCAGGCCCACTTTGGTGTCA